TAAAATATTATAATGAAAAGTTGACACTCAAAAGATGATCATGGAAATGAAGAAATCGGGCTTTTTCTTCATTTCCAAATTAAATTAGTAACTTTATTCTTTAAGCTATAATGAAGAAAAATAATATATACTATAAAAAATTAACACATTGCTGGTAATAATTTTAATTGTTATTGGCAGAACGCTCAAAAAATCAAATTAATAATAGCAAAAAATTGATCTTGATGCGGTTCTTGGATATTTGCGTGCATCAAAGCTAAGAGAAAAAATTTAAAAATTGAATTGTTACTAGATATAATCTATTTTTTTCTTCTTAAATTAAAATATGAGTAAATTTATTTTAAACTTTGTGTATTGATTTGTATCGTTTTCCGTCTTCGCTCTCAACAAACAAACAAAACTACTGTTTCCTGCTGCTGAGCCCTGCGCTCTCCTTTTCCACAACAAACAAAAAGAAAATCCTATCGCAAATTCCTAATGCTTTCCTGCTCTGGAAACTTGGCAGCCGGAAAGGGCGAAAGTCTTGAGCGTATGATTTTTCTTTCCGCGCACAAAAGCAGCGCTAGCGGAGATAAAACAGCGCACACGAGAGAGAGTTTCCGCCCCATCGTCGTGCGTCGATCCACCGGGGGCCGAGTTAATGGAAGTTGACGCTAAGTGATTCCTAAATCCGGTAGTAAGACACTGTTGAGCTCAGTGTAAGTACGTCTCGCCAATAGGATCAAAGTAAAACCCTCAAAGCAGCACTTCTTCTTGTGCAGCAGCCTCGGGACCCGCAGCGTGTGCTGAAAAAAAATTTTTTTCAAGCCGCGGTCACGGTTCGATAGCAACTGGTGCTGCATGCATATCCACCCAGCTGGCGGCACAATTAAAAATTTATGCTGAGGTCATTTCCTCGATATAACAAGGCGTGAAATCCGGCGTGATTTGCCGCTCGGATAATTTAAAAAGCTGACAATGTGACGTAACAACAGGTTATGCAAATAATTCATTTCCGCGTTTGATTGACTCAATTCTTTTGATTATTTACATTTTTATCATCTTAATAAGTACCCACTGGCCGGGCTTAGAAAATCTAATTATTAAAAAAAAAAACGGATTGGTTTAGCCACAATAAAAAAAAAAACACCATAATTTGTTTCTTCTGATAACTTCTGCCTTTAAGTTTCATTGCGTTGATTGTAGTAAATTATAATTTATATGCCCTTCAAAATATAAAATTTTCGATTGTATAAAACATCAGAATTATGTAAGTAAATATTTCGATTACTTACCAACACCAACTGGAGCTCAGTAAGCACAATTCACTCGATAACCCAGCAGTCAGCTTTTTACATTCGCGGATTTTGAGACCGAAAATCGAAACTAAACTTATACTTTTGAGAGTGAACAGATCAACTTCTTCTCATAACAATTAACTGATTTGTACTGCTTTAGAGAAAGAGAGATCGAAATGCCTTCTGCTCTGCATTCCTACTCCTTCGCTTATCGTCTCTACCCCCTGTTGCCATATTTACAAAATTTTTGTTTTCTTCAAAACAGACCAAATTCCAAGCTGCCTCAGTATGCGTTTGAATAGTGCGGAGGAATGTCATGCAGTGAATTTTGTTTGTGTTCATCAAAAATGAAGAAATGAACTTGCCGTCCTGTGGGATCGGATTATTTTTAGCTGTTGAAAATTTAAAATTCCTATCGATTTCATCACAGAAGCAGCACAGAAGTAAGTCCACGGCTGGCATAAAGAAAACCGAGTAAGTAGAAACAAATTTATAATATTTGCTGTCCAGATTCCCTTATCCATTTGCTATCCAGAACACAAATAAGCTTTGTCCAATCATCATTATTAAATTTGTTTAATTCTTCTTAAATTTCATCATCGGTGAGAAAAATTGTTTTTTATTCTTCAATACTTTTTTAGGTCAAGATAGAGTTTTGGAAGTTTTCACTTTCGAACAATCTACTGAATTATTGAAGTGAAGAAAACGGGCCTTTACTGCAAAAACTGCATTATTTATTTAAAATATTATTTTCAAATATTTGAATTAATTAATAGAAGTAAATAATGTGAAATGAAATGAAAGTGAATGAAAGTGCTTTTCCTCGTTGAAAAATTGTTCTTTTTCTTATTTAAAAAAAGTACCAGTTTCGGTCGCTGTGTGCAACTCTATTTTGTGAGCATGAAAAAAATACAATAATCAGGAAATTGAAAAAAAAACCACTTCCTTATTAATTTTTAAGTGATTTTTCAATTTTCTGAATTTTCATATTTTTTCTTGCTTATTAAACAGGGTCGCACATCGCGACCGAAACTGGCAGAGTGGTTTTTTTTTAATTAATAAAATACAATATTTTCCATATTTCCAACAAGGATAGGCACTTCCACGATCGTCTCCTCGTACTGAATCAATTATTTTTCAATTCAAAATTCAAAGCTAATGCAAGAAAGGCTTTTCCAAAGTCTAAAATTGCCAGAGAAAAGCGATCGAGCTGCGTTTGAAAGTAGGTCAGGTGTTTGCGAGCAATTCCCACGAGGACGCGCGTTATTTCGGCCTGCGCGTGATGTTGTTGACGCGTGTGTTTGCATCGGCCGGTTGCATAAATATCAAAGGCGGCAGGCGTTTTAATGCAGGTCGTGGGTGCTTTGAATGGAATGGCCGCGCATGCAGTCAAAGCGTGGCGGCGGCGAATTGTGAATGTGTTGGCGGGCGTACGTCTCTCTCATTAGAAATGCGGCCTTGCTGAAATAATAATAACTTGACGTTCGTTCAACCGGCATCCATTTTTGATAGCCTCATCAAATATAAAACAGAAAAGCGAGTGAGTCGCTCTCTCGCCGCCCCGTTTAAAGAGCGCCGACGCCGCCGCTTTTCCGCACAAATCTTGCCCCGCTTTTTGCGCCCAGCAACTTCAGCGTGTTCCTCTTCGACAGCCCGAAATAGAAACACAAGCTCAGCTCGAACGGTCTCGGGCTCCATTCAGGATTCGCCGGGAAAGTTCAAGAGTAAGTGATGATGAGAGTTGATGATTTATTATCAAATTGGGCCTTGACTTAGTGGACGATTTTAATTTTACTTGGTTCTAACAATATTTGCAGAAGCAAAAAGAGGGATTGCGTGAATCTGGTTTAATTAGTTTTTCTGTGGAATTATGTAATTTTTTACTTTCCGTTTGAGGTTATTTTAAGAACTTTTGTTGCTAACAATAAGAATAAACGATAACAAATATTGAAGATACCGTTTATATCATATTACTTCTCAGTCAGTGGTGCTAGTTTCTATTTCAGATAATGCTTAATTCTTTCTATTTGACAATTTTCATACTCGAATTATAATTTGCTATTTCTTGGGATGTTTAATTTTATATATAGAAATTTATTAAACACAAAATGTGTGCAGCTTTTCAACGTACAATTAATTATTTATAATTCATTCTTGCAGCTTCAGACAAGCTTAAATTATTTTTACAGCATTCACTAAAATGATACAAGTTAATTTTCCTCCCACATTTTTCACAATCGCAATCATTATTTACATTTGAATGGTAATTTTTATTCTTACAAAATAGAAAGTGAAATCCGTGTACTTCATATCTGGTAATTAAATGTCTGTTTTAAAAACACGGTTTCTTCCAGCTCGGATTGGTCATTGCAGGAGTGTCATAAAATTGAGGATCAATTTCTGAGATTTTGTAAAGCTGATTTTCAATAAATTTTTGGTAACTATCTGTCTCTGTGAGCTCAAATTTCTTTACTAAATCAGTGACGAGGAAATTTGTCTCGGCCAACTCGTAGACTAGTCTAGACTTTTTGAATTTAGATACTTGCAAGGCTTTCTTAAGGAATCGAGATTTAGCACTTTAATTTTAATTGGTATATTTTCCATTTTTAAACTTATAATTCTTCTGTTTACACAGGAACTTGAGAAAATTCAATGACTCATCAACTGAAATAATATAATATTATATTATTCTATAGAATAGCAAAATGTAATTTTTTAATTAATCAATAAGATTGTTGGATTTTAATATGATCAATATGAATCGATCATTTATTTCCGAAGTCCTGACTGAACTTATTAGATTTTCCATTCAAGTTTTGAACGAGAACAAAGTAATGATGCATGGCATTTATTTCTATGAAAAGTACCAGCACTTTATACATTTTCATTTTTACCGTCCCTTTGGAAAAAAACTTTACAGTTTCTATTCCATCAAGGAAAAACGCAAATCCCCAGATGCAAAATTGTTGAATAGCAGTTTGTGCCGGCAGGTAGATTTGCTTTTTTTCGGTCAATGCGCGCGTCCATTCACTCCGGAGAGGCGCATAATCACAACAATCCGGCTTTCCTCTGTGAAGGCAAAGTGTAGCGAGCGACACACTATATTTGGCAACGTTATTTCAACACGGCGGCAAAGCTGTGAGTTTGGAAAGTGACTGGCAAGCTCTTGAGCCGCCTCTGGCCCAGGATTTTTAATAATTCACGGTTTAAAGCTGAAGTGCAAAGTCTGTAAACACCGCCGTGGCGTGGCTGCCGCTCCAATTTATTGTGCACGTGCGATTCGCCACCTCCGCATAACCCAAATCTGCTTGGATTTTGTGCATTCTTTTAGATTTAGATGGGAAATTACAGTGAAAGCCAATTTCATTTGACAGCAAAAATATAATTTAACTTTCTTGGATATAAAGAAAAATGCAATTGAAGACATAAAATTGAAAGAAGTTAAATTTTTTTCCATTCAATTAGCTTATTTTAACAAGTTATAATACGAAATATTACTGCAAAAATATGTAAAATTGATTCTCTTCAAGGCAGATGATGAAAAAATTTTGTGGTTTTAACCAACATTGCCAATAATTCAAGCAAACTAAAAGCCTTCTGATCCTTATTTAAAAATATTTCTAATATTATAGTATTTTTTATTCTTTAAAAATTATTTAAACAATAAATTCATGAAAATTAAGTGCATAAAAATGAAAATTTTGCTTTGCAAATTGTACTCACAGTTGTGTTGGCCATGCACCTCCTCATGGGGTCAGAGGGCGAGCGGTAGGTGGGCGAGTACCTGCCGCCTGAAAAGCACGAGCCAGGGCCCGTCAGGCTGGTGGGGTGCAGGCTCGGCGGTTTCGAGTTGATCATCTTCTCGGACGCGTACATGTCCCTCAACAGAAGGTCATCGTCCGTGTGCGTCCACTTAAACGTGCTTGGTGTTGGCTTGGGCAAAGTCCTCAAGGGACGCCGAAATCGCTCGGCGATTCGGACTCGATGTCGTGTGCGACCTCGATTCGATTGAAAGTTAAATTATGAAGATAATCGCTGATTAATAAATGTTATGATTAAATATTTCTGTAATTTTCAATAATTCGTCGACCTCTCGTCAGTGCAAATACGAGGGTTGTACTGACTTCACCATTCGGGCTCGAAGGATGCGTGCAGGAATATTGCATAAAGAGGCGTGGCCAGCCAGGGGCTGCAACCTGCCTCACGCTCAGTCGGGGGCGCAAGCGTGGCCACCACCGTTCTCTGCTGCTCTGCCGCGAAACCCGGAAACCTGCACACAAATTATGATAAGTTCAACAGCCTGAGCATATTTTTTAAGGAAAAAACCAAAATTATTTACTTTCAGGTAAAATTCAATTTAAATTTTTATTTATAATTATTAAAAAATTTGATTGATTGTGGAAATTATTATTAATTATTCTGACTTTCAGGAGATTTTTAATTTTAATTTAGATTTTAGATTTTCATTTTTTTTTTTTGGGACAATTTCCAAATAATATTCTGTTTGCGAGGCAGCACATGGTCGCGCCAGCAACCAATGGGGCCACCCTTACTCCACCCCTCGCACCATCAACCCTCGCGCATGACCCTCGGCGCGCCAATCGTGCGCTGCCAGGGGTGGAGATTCCGCGAGAAGGGCTTTTATTTTTATGGTTAAGCCACCGCGGCGCCTCTGAACAGGACGGGACTCCCCTAATTACTACCCCCGTAAACTCGGACAATCAACCCCGAAACGCAACCCCTTCACCCGAGTCGATAAAACTGTTCCGTCTGAAAAATGGCATATTTTTAATTTTGTGAAATGCGAGATTTGGAAGGAGGATTCTGTTGCACGGGGTGGCTTTTGCAGCCTCCTTGGCGGGGCGTCAGAATGGCTGGGGTGCTTGGATGTTAGAGCCCTCTCTGAGCAGGGGCGAAGCTTCAGTCAACACCGAGCGCTCTCTCGTTCGACACAAAACACTCAAAATCATGGCTCGGGGCGAGACGCAGGAAAAAGAGCCGAAAGGCCGCCTTATTTCTTGGCTCGCCTTGATAAATTGGACGCGAGGCGGCCGCATCCTCGGCCGCCGCCTCGGCCCTAATAAATTAGTCGAGAAAGGCCATTAAACAAGGTTAAACTCGAGCAGGGCGCGCGCGAAACTCCCTGGGCGACCATATTTCATTCCGCCGCCGCCGCCGCTGCTGCGAATTGTGCGCGATCAGAATTAACCCGGCCCGCTTCAGCGCCAGTCTCACAGGCAATTATCAGTGTTAACGAGCTCGAGTAAATCAAAATTAAGCGCGCTAATTAATATTAGCGCTGCCGCAGCCGACTTTTTATTGCATATAAACTCGCTGATCGCATTCCTGGAGGGTTTTCTTGTGAGCTTGCTTAGGCAATTTGTTGGGCCAGTCGGCCGAGCGGGTTGCATACGTTTGAATTATCAGTTAACATTTTTATTAAAAGTTCAGAAATTTGGGTGAAGAAAACGTCCATTGTCCTCGTTTAAAATGTTTTTTACCTAAAAAATCATAGATTTTTTTCAATGAAAAGTGTCATTCTTAAGCACGTAACAAATAATATTTAACTTTTATTAATTAAGTAATAATATTTTTAATAATATTATGCCATTTTGTGCTTTATCCTATATTTTTATTCATTTTTTTTCTTATTTGATTTATAATTCTTATTTATTCTTCTCAGTCAGTTATATTTTATTAACAAAGCTTTGTTAATAATTCTTAATAATAATTCTTGTATTTAATTGGTATAAAAAAATTTCTTGCTCTATTTGAAGCAGAGTTAGCGGATTTTGAAAAAAATATTGTCTAATATTTTTATTTTTCTATAGATTTAAATGGCTCATTGGGGATACATTACTAAAGATTACTTAACACTCTCATCAATTTTTAGTTATTTGAATTCATTTAAAGGAAATACATAATCAAGGGAAAAAAATTAAAAACAAACTCCGTCGTTGAAACGGAATAATTAATAGAAAAAAAAATATTGAATAAAGATTTCATAATATTTTGTCTAGAAAATGTTATGTAGACAAAATATAAATTGTATAAAAGAAATTTAAAAACACCACATATTTCTTGGTCATTATTCTGATTTTTTTTTTTTAGTATAATGTGTTGGAATAGTTAAAATAGGAGCTAATTTTAGGTATTCCTTTTTTTATAAGCGTCTGAAGCGTCGTTTGTTCGTCCGATCCACGGCCCCTCCTTCAGAAATTGAATCAAAGAGATAAAGCGCAAAGGCAGCAAGAGAGAGAAAAGCGTCGAAATCCAGCCAATAAATCTGCGGCGGGCGAATTCAGACAAATTGGAGGCGGTCGTAAAATTAAACTGCCGCGCGCTGCTCACGAGAGAGAACACGGACGGTTGAAATTTATTTAATTGCATCTTAGGTGTTGCAATAAAAAATATAGATTGTTTTCTCAGTCCCAAGAGATTGAAGGCGAGAAAAGAACAGGAGGAAAACGAGGCCCAAGCAATCACACTTGATGCTGAATTATTTACGCATTAGCTCTGCACGTTCAGTTTCAACCGGAAATAAAATTGTAAATTTACTTTCTTTGGCATCCATTAAATAATATTAAAAAAAAAACAGGTTAGTAAAACCCAAAAGAGTTAATTCTCATAAATATAATTAGAATTAAAAATTCAGCGGAGATTTAGGTATGCTTTGTTGTTTTTATTTTAAATATTCACTTCTTGTATCCTGGTTTGAGCTTAAATTTGCAACGAAATGATTGAATGGATTTATGAAATTCGGTTGTAAAATTTGCTAATTAAATTGCTTTTTTTTGTGCTTAAAAAATTGAACAAAAGTTGAGCAGAAACGTTTGCTGGTAGAAAAAGATAATTTAAAACTTCACCACATCTGGATTAATTTTTAGCCACCAAATTTGCTTTTACAAGGTTTCGGCGGAAAGCAATAACAATAACAATTGCGCACTGCGATTAATGAAAGGAATTGCGACGATGATTATGATGATTTTGCTGCTGCAGGAAACGTGCTCGGTCTCTCTCTGTATCTCTCTCTCGCAGCCAAGGGTCTAAAGGGAGCGATATACAGTCAGAGTGTGTGTGCGCTACGGCATTAATACATTATTCACGAGCTGCACACACACAATTCTAACGCGCAGTAATCAAATAAATTCCTCCGGCTGCTCCGCTCTCTGCACAATCCCCAGCAGATCCGAGCAATATTATTTGTAAGGAAATTTAATCTCATATATTTTATTATTATGGCCTTTTTGATGGAGCTGCACACCATCTCGCTCATCCTCTCTCGTGCAACTTCTTCGTCCCTTTTTCGGTGCCGGAGGGCCGGTTTGGGAAATGCGAAGCTTTTCCACCGAATTCGCTGAGAAACAACGCGTGAGAGAAATGCAAATTATGCGCGCCGCCGCCGTTCAAACGTACGCCCATGCTCGGCCTCTGGATTTCTTCAAACTGTTCTTTTTTCTACTGAGATGGGATACAATGCGACTGATCCTATTGCTTTTTCTTGGCATCCTGTTCAGTTCATCCAGTCTGATAATTAAAAAACAAAAATAAACATTAGTAAAAGAAAAATTTAGCGTCAAATAAAAATTCTCAACCAGAAATCAACATTCTTTAAAATAAATATCATTTTCAAAAATTTAATGGAAATTAACACAAAATAATATACAGTATTATCCCGTTAGGCCAATAATTATATTATTTTCTGTCCTTATAAATTAAGTTTGTGACCCCAAAAATGGTTCAAATAATGCGGCTTTCATTTACACAAAAAGATACTTTTATTAAAAATAAATTCAAATTTTTTATTAAATAATTTTATGAATTTTTATTCTTCTCGTTCTCTTGGTTGAACTATTTGCAAGTGCGATTTTTTTTTTTTTTTTTTTTTTTAAATGAAACAAAATTTTAAAATAAATATTAATAAAGATTCTTTTTATTGTCGTTGTTTTTTTTTTTGTCCAATTGATCTAAATTTTTGAAAACAATTAGTTTTGTTTGAGAAAAAGACATAATTGGACAAATCGGCACCACCCCTAGTAATAATTTTGCAGAACCTTATAAATTAAATTTCTATTATTGTTGTTTAAATTCAATTCATGCAAATAAGAAGAAAATTCCAATTTTTTTCCCTCTTCAGCTGTCTTTTTCCTGCTCTCCTAGTCTGTAATAATTTTCATGTTTCCAAAACTTGTTTGCGGCTTGTGTCAATTAGCCGTTTGTAGGAAAGCGGAAAGCATGCTTTACGTGCGAGGGGATTTCGTGCTGTGGGCGCAGTTTGTTTTCTTCGCATTTTATTAATTCACCGACCACCACACACACTCGCCGCCGGATACCCGTGGCCATGAAATATGAAATGCACACGCATGTTGCATAGGATGTGGTTGGATTTAAAAGCTTAGCCTGAGATTTTTAACCGCTTCATGACTTCATTAATTTGCAACGAGCACTACTCGTTCTCTAAAGTTCAAATTCATTTCAAATTTTGAATAAAGAAGTCATTTTTTTGGGTAAAAAGTTCAAATTTTTAAATTTTTTACTTAAATTCAACACTTTCTTTTCATATTTGCTAAGGTGAAAATTTTACTCTTAAGAAATTCTACTTTTCCCACTTCAGGTTTAAATTATGAATTATCTGAGCATAATAATCAGGTGGCATAATCAACTGTTTTCATGCCTTTCAAAGTTCATCAAGCATCACAGTGGAGAGTTTGTTTGTGAATATTTTAATTCCGGCCTTTCGAGTGCAGCATCTTAATAATCAACAAGCTTTTCGAGGGAAAAGAGAATGCCTAATCTCACGCGTCAATCTCTCAAAGGATTAAAATAAGAAATTCTAAGATCAAAAAAGCTACCTTGCCAGCAGGGAAAGGGCTCAAGTCGTCAAAATTAAGGCTCGGAGGTGCGAAACAAGTTCATAATTCACTAATCACAAATAATTCAGCGCAATTAGCGCGGCCTTTTTGAAGTCGGCTGGCTCGAGGTGCTGAATAAAATAACAAAGTGTTTCTTTTAGCGCCTGCTCAAGAAGCGCAACGACGGTTTAATCTGGCCACCTTGATCCTTCCACACAATTTCGCGTCGCGGAATTAAATTTTTACACG